GTTTCACAGTCTTTCTCTCTGTTAGCACTTGCCAAACAGCTTCTACAGCTTCCTGTAAGGTAAAGGTAAAGGTAAAGGTTCCCCTCCCACATATGTGCTAGTCGTTCCTGACTCTAGGGGGCAGTGCTCATCTTCGTTTCTAAGCTGAAGAACCAGAGCTGTCTGATGACAATTCTATGACTAAATGCCGAAGGTGCCCGGATGGAATGCTGTTACCTTCCCACCAAGGTGGTCCCTATTTTTCTACTTGCATTTTTATGTGCTTTCAAACTGCTAGTTTGGCAGAAGCTGGGACAAGTAACGGGAGCTCACCCCGTTACGCTGCACTAGGGATTCGAACCACTGAACTGCCGACCTTTCTTTTTTTTTTATTGAAAAAGTTTTCAAATACAAATTTTTCCCCCATTTTTCTCCCCCCTCCTCCCTAACCCCCCCTCACCACCCATCCCCCCCTGTGACTTCTTCACAACAAAAACCTAATTCATAACAGATTATATAATATTTTACCATTCCCTTACTCCCTCCTCTAAATACTGACCCTTACTTGCTAATAATATTATTAATATTGTTAATTCCCCCTTTTACCATACATTTAAAAAAAAACATTCTACTATAACATTGTATGATAACTTCTAATTTAGCATAATATTATTATAACTCCCAATTTAGCAATAATCTGCCCTTTTTCTCCTCCCCCAAACTTATATCTGTATATCATTACAACATTTCAAAACAACCTTCCACTTTAAAACTATATAATAAATCCTACTTTAACATTTAATCTTTTGTGTATATTAATATAACATTTCAAAGCAGCCTTCCCCATAAATCCTAATTTAACATTTATTCAACTCTATCCATTCCTCCACTCCCCTAGATATATCACTTAAACATCCCTTTTCTTAAACTAATCAATCAGTAAACTAACCTATTTCCACCCACTTTCCTACAAAATTGCCATGCACAACAATTCTTAATATCTTTAATCCACTGCCCACTCTGCTAAAATATAATATATATATATATGTATATATTCCGTTATATATATAAAAAAAGACAATGACTTTAAATTTATAATCCATATAATATCTTCTTTGATGTCTTTCCACTGGATTGTTGAGTCCATCATCCATAATAGGGTAACATAGCTTCCTGATGCAACAGTTTGTTCAAAATCTTCAATCATCATCTGCCCCCATCAGTAGTAAATATCCTCATATATATATAAAAGTAAAAACAACCACCCGAGTGACATTATGATTATATTCCATATAGTTGTAACTGTGGCTTTCATCAGGATTATTAATTCCCATCATCCTAGTGGGTAACAACCAGATCTTCTGCATGCCCCAGCGTAACTCTCTTGCCTTGTAGTTCAGGATAGTTATAATATATTTATCGATACAAGAAAGAAATCCAAGGTAGATAATTCAAATCCAACAATTTAAGGCTCTTTTCACATCCCAAAATTACGGCATTGCAGAGGTCTGTCACTGTCCTCAGGATAATATTAACCAATACTTCGCCTCCACTATCTTTTCGCATATTCATTCATTTTTTTTTTAAATCACTGTCTTCACTGTTGCTTGATTTAGAAATTTCTATTTTTGTGAGACCTATTTCTTTTTTTCTTTTCTTTTTGTGGGTTTAATTTCCATCCTGGTTTCCTTTCTACAAGTTGTATATCAACTGCCGACCTTTCTGATCGACAAACATAGCATCTTAGCCACTGAGCCACTGCATTCCCCTAAATCCAACCTAAATCCAATCCTGGTAAAAACGTCAGGGTGGCTCGTACTGTATGGTGGTGGAGAATGCAAGAGGTTCAAATCCACCCTCAACCCTGGAAGAGAACTTTAGGCCAGTCATTCTCTCTCATCTGCTTAATAGGATAGTCATAATAGAGGTAAAATTGAAAGGAATAGTGTGTACTCTGAGAATGTCTGGAGAAAAGGCAGACTATAAAATGAATAACAAGAACAGCATTTTCATCCTAGCTTTACATATAAACTTAATTTCAGTAGCAGTCTAAGAAAAACTATTGTAAGAGCTGCTTTCCTAAAGTCTCCATCTTATATCACCCTAACCACAACACAACATCTGAGGAAGATTGTTTTTTATATGGCCCATCCTTACAGCATTGCCTTAATATTATTTTCCTCTCACGGTTGAATCAGCTTCAAGATCTTTTAATTGTTCCAGCTTTCAACTATGTTTTCCTACTTCTTTTTGTTAAGGGAACACACATAAGTTTCATAGATGATGTGGTCAATGCCATAAGGGATTATGCAGACTATCCTGCTGAAGAGTTTTTGTTTCTAAAGTATGGTAGGAAGAGACTAAGTTTTATGCAGGAAAAACAGATGTTCAATAAAGGAGTAATGTTCAATAAATAATGTTAGCTCTAAGTGCAGATATTATAGCTGAAGATTTCTATGGTTTGAGTTCATATAATACATGTGTTCTTTATCTGCATAATCTATATCAACAGAACAACAATGCTATGCTCACACAATGCTCTTCCTGTGTTTACATATTGTGTAAACACTATGAACTGGTTAGTTGAATTAGCTAATTTATTGATGTGCAATTCATTGAAGGTTGGATTTGCATAACATGCTAAACCATAAACGGACAAGCCAAGGTCAAAAGTAACCAAGCCTAACTTCTTATATGAATGCAGCATATTCTGCAAACAGAAATGCAATGATGGATATTGCACAAAGTAGGCAATCACATTTTAGTATAGAATGCTGAGAGAAATTAGTTTGCATGATTTCCCTCAGCATTAGTTTATGTTCATTGAACACTGATAGATTAGAGCGCACTGTGTAATAATTTATTTCACGTACAATTGATAAATATTTTTAACCACAAGGGAACTAACATCATGACATCATAACACAAGCTCCACTCTTTCATATTTACATTTTGACATCACATGCAAACACTTAAAGGGTGAAATTTGCTTTCCAAAGTTGTAATGTGGATTTCATCTCTCTGTCACATGCACACTGCTCTAGGATTTTGCAAATTCCAGGAAACAAATGTTTCATATCCTCTACAGATATTACCACTCCAATGGAATAGCTGTGTGTGTGTGTGTGTGTGTGTGTGTGTGTGTGTGTGTGTGTGTTCAAATTAGTGCAGATTCCTGAAGACCATCTGGGCAAGTCCCTGCTGTTTTCTTGGCAAGTTTTTGGAAATAGTTTGTCATTGCCTCCTGAGAAGCCAAGAGAGAATGACCCAGCTGGCTCTGTGCCTAAGGTGGGACAAGAATTCAGTTTCCAAGTTTCTAGCCTGGAACTTTTAAGGACTACATCAAACTGATTCTCATGGAATAGCCTTATCACCCTCCAAACATATCCACATGCATTTTTTTCTTGTATTGTGTTCACACAGCATACTAAGACATGATGCCTTAATCATGATTCACTGGATAAATTACAATTTAAGCTCCACCATAAACTGCTAAACCACATGCTAAACCATGAACTATGGTTTGCAAACCACATTAAGTTAACTCATCATGCAAAATCACAAAAGCCATTAACAGCAGTCTAATTGTTGGGCTAATAGTTCGTGGTTTTGTTCCTATGAGAAACAAGGGCAAGGCAACCTTAGTGGGTTTTCAGCTAACAACCAATGATTTAAAGGTGCATGTAGTAGTCAAGAGTCATTGTTTCTTTTCTCCAGCTCTAGCCCGTGCAGAGACAGTACTCCAGTTCACTACAGAATAGTTTGATAGTATAGATGACTAGGAGTATGTGGGGCCATTAATATAATCTAAGTCTAACAACAAGGTGATCATATAAAGTTGATTACACACTGAATGAGACAGTTTTTCTATGTAATTATTAAAAAGGCCAAATGCAAATTACAGATTGCATCAACAGAAATATGATTTTTAAAGCCTGAAGTAATCAGTTCACTTTATTTTGCTTTGGGATACCCAGTCTCAAGTACTGAATTCAGTTCTTCCCATTGCACTAAAGATCTATAGAAATTGAAGCAGGTTTAGAGAAGGGCAACAGGAATAAAATAGGGGAATAGAATCCAATAATTGAAGGCATCGGGTTTGTTTAGAGAAAAGGCAACTAAAGAGGATAGGCTAGCCCTCTTCAAATGTATTAAAGGATATCATATGCAAAATGGCTAAGATATGTCTCTATTTCAGAATGTGAGTCTTGGAAGAATGTATTTAAGTTACAAAAAGATAAAATCTGTCTGAATGTAAGGAAAAACTTTCTTGCAGACAGAACAATTTGACAGCTGAATCTGTTACCTGGAAACAGCTGTGTTAAGCAGAGTCTAGATCAGGGGTGTCAAACTGGCAGCCTGCGTCACATGCAGGCCACAGCCACCCCAGCGCTGCAAAGGGGAAAAAATATTGTGCACATGACGGCAACGTGACGCGACAAGTTTGACATCCGTGGGCTAGATAGTTGTTTGGCTGTTGGAGGTTTTAACTCCTGCACTAAGCAGACTGAACTTAATGGGCCTTTTTAATGCTATGCTTTTATGAGGAACCTCCTAATACTGAACTTCAGCAAATAACTGGCACACATATATTGCAATGTGCAAACATGCATTTTCCTTTCAATATTAAAGATGCTCATAACAGTTTAAGAACATGCTGAAGTCTTGCTCTTTTAAGTTAAAAAAAGAAAGAGTACAAGGAGAAATTATGACCTGGAGTTAATGCAGGAAAAATGTCATTCTGGCATAACAAAAAGCACCTTTAATAGTAAATACAAAGCTTTACATTTTGGCATCTGTGCAATAATGGAAAGCAACGCTGAATGCCTATTTTCTGATCTAGTGAATAGCAGCTACTGTGTTCCAAAGATATGATACTGTAATGTGTAACTCCCAAGCAAGCAATAGATCACTATGCTGCTTCCTATGTCTGCTAATACGTCCTTTATTACTGAACGGCCCCTTTAAAAATTCCAGGATGCTCAGCTAGGGTGGCAGTGACAAGCAGATGCGATCCAATTACAGTCAGCATTTGCCATGAATGGCTTTGTGTGCGACTGATGGGAAGAGGACGGCAGCAACAAGTGCTGTGTGCAGGCTGCAAGTCTTCACTGCTGCTGCTGGTCTGAACTGCACCCACATCCAGGCAAGGGTGTGGCAAGAGAAAGCAGAGCAAGAGCTCCTGAGCTTTGGATGAGGAAGAAACTTGGGATCCTCAGGTAAAAGGAGACTCAGCTGACCTCGGTTCAGGTATCATGGCCAAAGGGGAGAAGAGAAGGTAGCAATAATAGGGCAGATCAGTCGTGGCATATTTGCATGATGGAGTGGCTAAAGGTGACTATATGATTTTTTTTTCAGTCGGCTCAATCCAAGAAGCCAAATTTGAGGGGGTGGTGGTATTTTGCTCTGTAACTAGGTAGGTGTCCAGTATCTGTGCTGTTCTTATTTTTGACATCATGGTTGAAACTCTGGGAGGAAGATGTAGGTGGAGACTGCAGCTAGCTTTAGTGTCATATTTACATCCTGAAGCATATTAGGATTAGCAGCTTTGCCTGTTACGCTTAGAGCAGGGATTGCCAATGTTCAACATTATGACTCATGTACCTTTAATAGTTTGGGGAAAGACAGCAGATGTGCTGCTTGTCATGTCACAGTGCTTCAAGGGTTTGAAAATCTGCTTGCCTGCCTTGTCTTCCCTAGCTCGCCTGAGGGCTGAAAGCTTCATCTTAGGCAATAGGTTATGGCAAGGTTGAAAAGGAGAAAGAAGCATTCTTAGAGAGGATTCCCTCCTACCTGAGAAATTTCCTCTATCACTACAACCAGCAGGATCCTAAGAGCCATAGCTGGTTGCATATAGGCAGTACTCATAAATCCAGATTTTCAAAACCCAAATTGATGTCTGTAGCTGATCCCCAAAATGGCCCATTTATATCATAGAATTCAAATGATTTTTCAATCCGCCAATTTCCTCAGGGAACTCTGGGGATTGCAGTTCTGTGACCAGCTTACTGAAGATCTTTTGCAAAATTTTCTGCATCTATTCCAGAAGAAGCTGTTAAGAAGCAGTTAAAATGGCATGGAGCACATATAATTCTGTGGTCCTTTTTATGTTTTTTGGGGGACAACTTGGTGATGAGGCTAATTGATTACTCTTGCCATCTTTGGCATATAATGACAGTCAATTTTTTAATAATTACTTTCAGTCATGCGCACCATTTTATTTTGCCAATTTTCTTAACTGTAAAAATTATGCCATCAACAGAAAAGGATTCAGGTTATAGATTCCCCTCCTAGGATATGAAAACTTCAAAAAACATAACAGCAAAACTATCCTAGTACTAAGAATGAAAGAAAGCAAATAAGGGGTTTCTGATGAGTTTGTTTAGGGCAGAAAAGTGGCAAAGAGAACAGATTCTTACCTTCTTTCACCCATCTCTTTTCCTTGCTTAAACTACTCTACCATGCTCTGAATGTCTCCACCCTCAGCAAGCAGATTCATTTCTGGGGTAGAATATAAAACAGAGTACAGACAAGCAGAATTCCTTTCCCAAGTGTCTCCATCTTAAGGACAGAAAAACAAACGAAAACAGGATTCCCCAACTTCCAGTTTCTTTATAATGTTAATCGCTCCTCACTCAATGGTTTTTCCCCGCAAAAGTCTCCTGATCTTACTAAGTACAAACTTTTTCCCAGTATAGTGAATCAAAACTGAACAGCTTTTTTTTTCCTCCCCAGCAGTTGTGACATTTGCACTATTAATTCAGCTGACATAGGTTGCAGAATATGATTTAAATAAAAGGACTATGCTGTAATATGCAGAAAACTTCTCTGTTTTATTTATTTTTTATTTTTTTTAATTCTCTTTCCAAAGAGAAAAGATTTTGGTGCAAATTCATGGGTGAAGTATGATGCTCTCCTAGTTACTTAGTTAAAAGTTAGCCTTGCAACTTTAGAATATAATAGAACCCCAAACTGACTCCAGATGGGCACTTTACTGCTGAAAAGTCTGAGATGCTGGGCTTCCCCCTAGGCTGATGCAGCTGAGGGCAGATGGAATGAATAGGGCCCTGTGGTTGCTTCTCTTAAGTTCATCATCCTTTTAGGTATTCCTCCACCCGCCCCATGCACGCACACATATACTTAATCATTAGCCTTAGGGTGAATCTCCTCTCGTTTCCCATGCCTTATATAAGCTGCAAAATTCTGGATGACTACCAGATGGCAGACAAATGAAGTTGTTTGTAAATTGTGTCATATTTAATGCAAGAGCCCAAATAAGGAACATAACGCTTATTCTGTCTCCCTCATTCCTTTAAATAGCAATAGCACTTAGACTTATATACCCCTTTACAGTGCTTTACAGCCCTCTCTAAGCGGTTTACAGAATCAGCATATTACCCTCAACAATCTGGGTCCTCATTTTACCGACTTCGGAAGGATGAAAGGATAAAGCAGAAAGAAAAGGAGAACGAGGAGATTAAAAAAAGCAGCAAGCAGCAAGTGGTGAGAACCGGTGGGCGTAACCATGGAGTTCATTGTGAGTAGCTGCCACATTCATTGTGACTAGCTTCACTTTTTTTTTTACCACTCATCTGCAACTTCCCTAGCTTCCATTGCTTCTTTTAAATCTCAAGAGGGAATTATTTCCACTTGAATTTTTATTTTTTAGAATGGGATAGGGCAAACTGGGCTCCTTCACAGTGATAAAAACATGTTTCCAAAATGCAACAACATCAGCACTAACATTCTCCATCACCTTCAACTAGAGAATGATTGAAAAGGAGAGAGAGAAATGACCTCAAGGGTTTTGTCTTCAATTGCTTCTGTTCAGCAGGAGGGAGGGAGGGAGAGGGCGAGAGAGAGAATTAGTTACCTATCAGGGCTTTGTTACAGAAATTTGCAGTCACAGATATTTGAGTCATCAACATTTGTTTGATCATGGGTGGTAATTTTAATTTTTGTGTTGGAATTAGATGAAAATGTATTCATATTTCTGCCCCTGTAGAGATTACTTCCCCATCTTTCTGTGTTCTGGAAAATGAGAAGCGTGAACTGATTGCTGTGACACACCTGGCCTCAAATCAACCCACCGAGAGTCTGAAGAAACTCTTGTGGGCCCTCTTAATTCAAAGGAGCGTGGAAAAAAGAAAAGACTCATTTTCTTTGCCTTAGCAGCCATGCAGGATTCCCTATTACTGATTGGATGACCAGCATGTTTCTGGCAACTGAGACATCTTGGCCCGTGCTGTTCCTTTGCTCTCAAACTCTCTTCTGCCTCTTCTTTTGCACCCCTTCCTGTTGTTGTACATCCTGCCCTGAACAGTGTCAATGCACCAATTATTCAGGAGCAACTGCCGTTCTGTGTAGTGCTAGCAACTTGGAGGAGATTCCAACAGATATTCCCAAAGATACCATGTTTTTGAAGCTGGATGCAAATAAGATTACTGCAGTTCCCAACAGCACTTTCAGGCACCTTGCCCACTTACAAGAAATAGATCTCTCCAAGAATGCCATTGAGAAGATTGATTCAGCAGCATTTAAGGGTGTGGCTGATGGCCTGCGATTGCTGGATCTTTCTGGCAATCACATACAGAGAATCCCAAAGGAAGCCCTGGTCAACTTGAATGCCATGATTCGCTTATCCAACAACCCTTGGCATTGTGAATGTACTTTGCAGGAAGTCTTGTGGGAAGTGAAACTGGACCCTGATTCAGTCAATGAGATCACCTGCCAAACATCTGTGCAAGAGGAATATGCTGGAAAGCCTCTGCTCCACATCCTAGATTCAGGCATCAACTTTTGCAACATGCATCAGAAAACCACTGATGTTGCCATGTTTGTTACCATGTTCAGCTGGTTTACCTTGGTCATTAGCTACGTGGTATACTATGTCCGGCATAATCAAGAGGATACAAAGAAGCATCTGGAATACTTGAAGTCCCTACCTAGCACAAGAGTTCCTAAAGAGACTATCAGCACAATTCTGTAGCCTGGAGTGCTGACTTTCAGCTACACAGCCTGTTTTCTAAAGAAGAAAATGTTGGATGAAATATAGAAAGTTTATTTCCTGCTAGTTCAGCCAGGACTTTTCTAATTTTTTTTTTTAAAAAACAAAATGTTTCATAAAAGATAAAAAAATGTGTTGACATTATAAATATAGTAAAAATGTCTAAACCACATTTCCCTATGCTCTAAGCTATTGTTACTAATAGTGGACCCAACAGAAAAAAAACATATAAAAATGTCTTCTTGGCAAGGAATTTGAATGGCAAATGCTTTATTTTGGCTCCCTAAAGTTCTCAATCAAGATCTTATTCCAAGAGAGAAATCTAAAAACCCTCAAATGGAGCAATATAAGCCTGACAAATGTGCTTATGGTGCCAATGGAATATGTACATGGTTGACTTTTGCTTAATACTCTGAATGAAAAGACAAACCAGTTTCTCCAAAGCTTACAGAAAGTTCTATTGCCAAATTCATAGATTTTGCAAACAAGGACCCATGCAATTTGGTGCAATTTAATAAGTGACATGTATGTTTGTGTGTGTGCCGCAAATCTAAAAAGGGATACACTTTATACTGCATCTGGACTCATACTTCTTCATTCTCCATCAGATTAAAAATGTGTTTTTACTTCCAGAAACATTGCGGTGCATGGAAAGGAAAAAAAATGAGCATATGTTATTAAAAAAATAATGCTGAATATATTTCCTTTAGGAAGATGGGACAGATATATAATGATGAAATTGTTTGTTTCTACATTTGCTTATTTTGTACTGCAAATGGTGCTTCAAAAGCGCAGCTGGTTGGGGGATTAATAAATTTGAAAAGGAAAAAAAATGAATAATAATTTTAACTTGAGAAAAACCTAGTCCTGGCATCTGATAACAGTTTCTGAGAACAGAAACCTTCAGACTAAGAAAAGATAATATAAGAATAAGCTAATAGAAAAAGTAAATAAGAAAGTTATAAAAAGCCCCTCATTGAGGGAGATGAGCAGTCTAGAAACATGAAATATAAATATAATGAATAAAATATTAAATTGGAAACGCTTCTTTACATGATTTTAAGGTTCAAAAACTCTATTAAAAGCGATCCCCTATAAATTTAGCAGATTCTGTTTGAAAAACAGATTGAATCTAACCTTTTCAGAATTTGGCAGACTAAATGGCAGAATAAAGCAAGGTCAGTACTGAAGAGAACCTACTGGTGGCAAATAAATTTGACAGCAACACTGTACAGTATTCACTATACTGCACCAGGCACAGAAACATGCTAGACTTGCTGTTTGAAAACAGATTTGCAAATTAAGTCTTCATCTGCATGTTATTATGCATTTTAAGACTCTTGAGACCTTTGATTGTACCTTTGACTCTCTGCTATGCTGTTCTAATGTGATAGCATCGCTTTCCATCGCTACTTTGGAGAAAATGTATGTTCTCATAGAAGAGAATATATATATATATATATATATATATATAGCTCAGGGTTGAATTTTTGAGTCCTTGATGCTCTCTGAGCATGGTTGTTTGCTTGCTGACATTCCATTATCTAACTAAGCAACATCAGTGCTGCTTAGTCAGGTAATAAAACAACTACGTAAGCAAGCACCATGTTAAGAGAGCTCCGAGGACTCCACAATGTTCCAGTTACTCAACGTATATAGATTTCTACTGGATGCATTTGTTTGAAATCTTTATAGCTATCCTGTAGGGTTGTGCAGTGCTACAGCTTCACTCACACAAAGGGAACTGGAACATGTGGGAGCACAAATGTGGCATCACCTTAAAACCTCAAGGCCTTTTTCTTAGATTGTGTGTGATCCTAGGAAAAGATGAAACTGCTGTAAGATGTTGAAAGGATCACATTTTTAGTTTTGTGCATTCTTAACCCTTTGTGGTGATCACATCTGAAGGCCCATCATGCGACATCAACATTTTGACAAATTTCAGTACAGTTGGGGCCTTTTTTTTTTTTAATTACTAGTTTTATTCTACTGCTTATGTACCATTGCAATTCATTTATTGTGCAGGATGTAAATGTTCTCTGGTAATATTTGAGTTATGGGGATGTAATTCAGTCTGATGTTGAAACTCTTTTCTTCCTAATTCTCAGTGTAGAATGTGGTTACGACATCTCTCATAATGAGCATCACAAATTCCTGCACCATTTTGTGAACTTAAAAAATGCTGGTGGTTGTGCATCCATCTATTATGTAGTTTAATCCTGAAAAAGTCATCCAATGTCACTTTTTTTTTCCTTTTAAACTGTTTAAAAAATCAAAAAGATTATCCTCTTGCTCTTCTTTTATTAAAAAGGTGCTAAACAAACATTAACAATCAATATTTATGCCTTCAAACTGACAATTTAATAAATATAACCCATAAGGAAAAAAGAAAGATGGAAGGAGCAAGGAGATGAGTTAAATTAAGTACTAAGTTTTCACAAAGGACTCGTAATTCATACCTGCAGATCTTATTACCAAGAATTTTCCCCTGGGTTTAAAAATAATTATTGTGATTATAATTGTTATCTACAGGAGGCCATTTTTTCCCCAATAGAACATTTGCCTGCTTGCCACCAATTAGTCTTGTAAAGGAATAGATCCTTTTACTTTGGACTGAGAAACATGGCAGCACCTACTACACCCAATTTTATTTAATGGGGCTATTATATCTGGCTCGTAAAAATCTGGAAAACCATTAGATCATAGCAAAAAGATATTCTTTGCTGCAATTTTGTGATATTCTGGATTTTAAAGCCCAGATAGCATAGCTCTAAATTATCAGCAATATTTTGCTTATTTGACATAAACTAAAGTCTCATGAAGAGATTGGATGAAGCAGAGAAGAATTCAACATTTGCAATGGAAAATAAGGAAGAGACTAATGATATATCAGTTTATGAGACAGTTGTAACTATCATTTGCTCTGTGTAATCTTTTTTTTATTAAGAAAAAGCTCGTTCTTTTGCCTTGTATCCATATCAGTTATTATATTTATCAGTAGCCAGAAACAAAACATTGGCTGCTGAAAATATTTGGAATAAGTATGAAAAGTTGCTTTGGACTGTATCACTTGGATTACAATTACTCATTCAGTGTCTGCTTAAATTTACAATGGCACAAAACAAGGTGGATTTATGACTGGTCCCCTGAGTACTGACCTTTTCAGTTTCCCTGCAGTCATGTGATCAAGATCTGTCACTTGATGCCCAGCTCATAATTATGCTATCACAGTAAGTCAAGGTTGATCATGATTTCCCACATTCTCTGCCAGCTTCCCACACAAATTCAGTGGGGAAGCCATCAAGAGTTCTCAAGTTGCTCCCTTTCCTGACACTTTTTCACCCATCCAGGTTTTGCAGCATCTGCCCACCGCGTTCTCCCAGCCGCCTGTGGCACTACCACATCTGCCTGTGCTCCACAGCATCTGCTTGCCTGGGACTCCTACTTCTTCCTCCTCCATAATGACCATGGTCCTGGGGTTGCAATGGCAAATAGGACTGCCAGGATTGTGATCCCTAAATCACATGACATCCATCATTTAGTGACAGTAATTCCACTTCAACAGATTCAGAAAGTACTAGATTTGTTTATACTATTGCGCTCATTTATATTGTCAAGGAATTATGTACCAATTATTTTAAAGCAGAGCTGAAGAAAATTCTTGGATGAAAAGAAAAACAAGAAAGTCCAGTTGCCTCTTGAAAAAGCACCTTTGAGACAACCATGAGCTGGATGACTGAGCTCTCCATAGATATTTTAAAGCATTAGAAGGCATCTGTTAATAACACTGATGTAAACATACAATAAAATATGGAATCAAACATTACTAAATGTAAACTAAATGGCTTACAATATGGCTTAACAGAAGAAGCAGTTATGATGCTGAGGTAGCAGAAGGAAAGACCTTTGACTATTATTTCTCAGGTGCAAAATATGTATTGATTCAAGAATTGTTTTTGTCTACTACAAAGGTTGACAACACAGGACCTGCAGAAGACAGAGCATTCATGATAACTTTAGAATGGTATCTGAGGAATAAAAAAATGAAATATGTAATATGTTTTTTAAAAAAGGACAAAAAAGATTTCACATTACTAAGATCACCAAATCTCATGAGTTGTTGGTATTCTGCATTGGATCTCTCAGGATTTAAGGTTAAGCTTCATTTTTTCATTCAGTTTTGAAAGCTGACTTTTGTGATATGTGTTGATCCAGTGAGATCCAGCAATGGTACCCAGTACTTCAAAAAGTTATTGATACTAAGACATTTTAATTGAGTGGCAAATGGAATGGGGGAGGAAGGGGGTCTTTATCCCTGCCATCATGCCTTTGTGTCTTGGTTTGGGCTGACAGAAAGTGACTGGCCCAGAGTTACCCACTAAGCCAGAGGTCTTCAAACTTGGCAGCTTTAAGACTTGTGGACTTCAACTCCCAGAATTCTCCAGCCAGCATAGCTGGGAGTTGAAGTTCACAAGTCTTAAAGCTGTCAAGTTTGAAGACCTCTGCACTAAACTGTATCCTGGATTGGGGATTTAAACCCATGTATTCCTTTTCCAATTTCTGTACACTTTTTTCCAGAAATAGAACCAGATATAACAGTTGCAGATGAAGGCAGGCAGTCTAACCTGGGGGCATAGGCAAAGCAGACTCCAAGGCAAACAGCAATCTATTTTACTCAGTGTACTTATTTCCTGATCCGTCTAGTGTTTTTGGTTTAAACACATGTCCCACATCACATATATGAAATACTATAATTTCACCATCTATTGTTTGAAGTAAATACAAGTATTGTGATAAATTCTTAAGTTTTCTCACTTTGCTTTACTTTTTATAAATGTCAAATTGAATCCAGGCTGGATAACTCCAGTTCTTAAATTATGGGAGCTCAGATATTGTAGCTGTAGTTAGATTTCATCTGAGATGAAGTTTGAATGCAAATAAGCTCTGACACAGCACCTCTGAGATGGTGCAAATCACTCTATTTTATTAGGAACTGCTTTCAATACTGTAAATATTATCCCAATAATAAATAATTCCACCTCCATATATCCATATAACAAATGTGACCATCAACAATTTACATATAATATTTTGTGAATGGACAATAATACATTTTAGCAGCAAACAGAAGCTTTATTATTCACAAACTAACATGGAAAAATAAACTAAGAAAACTAGGGTCAACTAGAATTGGAGTTTATTGCAGATATCATAAATCCATATAAAAGTACTGGGCTTTCCTGATGTCCCCATGTGAAAAAGTTCAGAAGCATTATTTCCTAAAGCTTAAAACAGAAACTTTTTAAAAATATTGGCTTTTCTTTCCTTGTAGCCTTGCTGCAAAACTGGAGAATACAAACCTGGAAGACTCATAATAAATCCAAGACTTTTTGTAAATCCAAGCCCTTCTACAATAAGGAATATATGTCATGCAATCTAGGGTAGCTGGTAATAGAGGAGTAACTGAATTTTGAATTTTCTCACCAAGGCTCAGAATTTTTTTCTCTTGAAACCCTGAGATTCAAATCTGGAAATTGCTCATAAAAACCAAAAAAGCAGTTGGGCCTTTGTGGTCCCATGAATCTCATATATTACAAAATTTCATATTTTTAAAAACCTCTAGCAATTTCTCCTAAAAAGAATTCTACATCAGAATTCTTTTCATGACAATGAGTGTGTTGCTGGAATTGATTGACATATAAATATGTTGCACTACTATGCTCTTCCCATAATGTCACAGTAGTTGACATTCAGACAAGGAGTTGGAAGAGGTCAGCAAAAATTTGTATGCCCAAACATTTTCAGTAGTAAATAGATATCAGATAGATGCCTTTTCTGAAGTCTACTGTCCTACTTCAGAAACAAGGAATGCTCAGATGTGCCTAATGGTATGAATTGTATTGGCAGCTTCTTAATGGGGGCAGGCAGGATAGAATAAGAAAACCAAAGTTTCTGAATTCACAAATAGTTTTGGCCAGGTCAAATATACAGTCATGCAATTCAACTTAATAACAGAAAGGATCTGTTAAATCTAATTTCCAACAGCCTCCCACTCAGCTTAGCTGAGAAGCGCCAGAATAATTTTTCTGTCTTATATTGGCTGTATTAATTGAAGTATAACAAATTTCATTATAGCTCTGAATAACTAAAACAATTTTTCCCAAGTCTTTGCTTTTTGCTTATGTCAGGAAACTCAAGAATCTCCATTCGGGTCAAAAAAATTTCAGCTTCAGCACCTTGGAGAGGGGTTCTTTTGCACTTGAATACATGAGGTAAGAACCAGCTGTAGTGTTGAAAGCTTCCCAATCCCTACAGCCAAATGTTGGAAGATGGTGAACTGCTACGAAACCTTCATATCCTTGCCATCTGCAGTGCAGACAAAATAGTTACTCAGCTTGTAATTTTCAATTCATAATATCCCATTCTTCCAGTACTTACAGTTGTTTTCTTACTGTGGAATTGAACTGGAGAAATATTCCTTTCATGTAAACTCAGATAACCTACAAATCAGTTTCCACATCCTGGTATTCCCCAGATGTACTGAGATGTACTCAGTTCCCAAATTCTGGGGAAAAAATGGCCCAATAGCCAGGTGGCTAGGAACTTTAGGATATATTCTAAAAATCTGACTTCTAATATGTAATAGATCACAAATAGCCAACTTGGTGTTTTCCAGATTATTATGACTACAACACTGACAGTGCTTTGGGTTTGGGCTGTACTGACTGGAGATGACTCTCCAAAATGTCTAGAACAGGGGTATCAAACTCGCAGCATCATGTTGTCATCACGTGACGTATCACAACTTTTTTCCCCTTTGCTAAAATGGGGCTGGGCATGGCCAGTGCGTGACACATCTGGCTCGCAGGCCACGAGTTTGACACCCCTGGTCTATGAGACATCATAATAACTATTCCTGATATAAGTAGATTTTTAGCATATCTACTAGCACTGTATTATTCATTCAAGATAGTTTTATTATCATACAGATAATTCAAATATGGAATTACTTAAACCAAATTTCCTTAGGCTGGGCTCCCAGGTGTTTTCTGGCCTCCAGCAACTCTTATAATCTGTATCCATTTCTCACTGAATAACTACAGAACTTTTTTTTTCAAGTACAGAACTCCCCAGTTGAGTACCAAACTCCCTCTCTACAGGCACATAGGGAAGGAGATTTATATTAATAAAGCTACAGAACACGTATAATTAGAATGCATATACATCCCATTTCCTCAGATCCCTCAGAGCAAAGAAATATGAATGCCACATTATGTCATGTTTGCATGTAATGAGCCTTATATGACTGCTACCCCTCTTTTTGAAGAGGTGGGTTCTCATTTTTTTTACATAGTATACTGTATATCCTGGGTAGGGTTTTCAGTTTCACTAACTACTAGAAGGCAGATTATTACAGGACAGTTTTCTCCTTTAGGGACTCATCAGATTTAGATAACCAGATGTTATTCTGTGAGGTTCAAACCAGCTGTTATTTTATGGCTTCAATTCAGGGGTGAAATGCTACTGGTTTGCACCGGTTTGGATGAACCAATAGTAAAAAAATGCTACCGGTTCGTCCAAACTGGTATTTCTGACGATCAGCTGTGCCGCGCGATTTATATTCGCTAGAAAGCAGGAAATCCTACTTTCTAGCTAACCTAAACACGCGGCACAGCTGTTCCCCCCTCGCTGTTTTACTTACCTTCTTAAGCCTTTTTCCGCACAAAGCATGCGATTGGTGCGCACTGTGCATATGTGTATGCAGCATGTGTTTGGTGTGCACTGTACATGCATGCATGCAGCATGCATTTGGTGTGTACCACGCATGCGCAGGCAGCAAACCAGTGACAAACCATAGAGGATTTCACCACTGCTTCAATTCCTAGTAGAGGATTTAAAGGGGCAAGTAAGAAGTGTGGGTCAGCCCAATGTGTGGCGATTTGTTTCCTTCTCCTCCTTCCCTTGAAGAGTTAGTTTAACCAAAGTAAGTGTTGCTTTTTTGATATGGATTCTACTGCACATTGACAATCTGGAAGACAGACCTGCACTGAACTACATGTGCAATACCCATCAGTTACAGCACCCGTCTTCCCACCTAAAATCTGTTTGCAGAAGCCAACATAATGTGCGTATGTGTACACAGAGACAGAATGGAGAACATTAAATGTAACACTTTTATTTTTAAAAAGGGAAAACTTAACCTTTTGCTTACTAGATAAAAGAGCTTGGATGCATGAGCCAGGGTTTAGTTTCTGTTCTGAAAAAATGAGTTTTCAAAAGTAATTTTAAAAAGCTTTTCATGTAGGTACAACAAGAAGAAGTAATTTATAAGGGAAGTTTCAGGAACAGCTAAATACCAAATCTCTTCCAATAATCTAGTTGTTTTAATCTGGACATTTGCTATTTAGCATCAAGAATAGAGGGTGACAGAACAGTAATCTTCGGTATAGCCTTTCTTCGTATACAGATTAACATAATAATATGGATACAATCATTCTGTCCTTTTTAAAGACTCCAATATATGCAAATGACAAAACTGAGGCATTTTCTCTTTATTACTTACCTGTAAATAATACTGTTTACAGAGAAGGTCACACCATCATAGGAATTTGCAACAACCAAAAAGCTGTCTTCTCCCACTGAAAAGAATTCCCAGTCTAAAGCACTATGATATGAACAAACCAAATAGGAAAATATTGCAAAAGTCAGAGAATCAGTGATGAACACACCTTGTTTCCATTTATATTAGAAACGGGGGGGGGGGGGGGGAGGGAAAAAGGGGCCCAAATTTTTTGAAAAAAGTAAAATTAAAAAAAAAAAAACCCTGGGGA